AGAGGGAGAGGGAGAGGGAGAGGGAGAGGGAGAGGGAGAGGGAGAGGGAGAGGGAGCACCAGCCAGCCAAGTAGCCTCTGCGGGAACAGCACTGTCTCGCTTCAATCTTGCACACTTGCCAAATGAAACTTAGAAGGCCGGAAGTCAGGGTTACCGCTGACCCATAGGCTACAGGTAGACCTGCCTTTTCATGCCTGCAGGACTGGGCAGGTTCACTCACTCGTTTATTGACACATCAGTTCAGCTCACTGAATTGGAAACCTGGGCCTTGGGGACAGAGCAGGAGCCTCAGGGCACATCTTGGAGAGACAGAGATGTTAGAAATTAACAGACTGTGTGGTATTTGAGGTCCCTGCTAAAATACGACACTTTCCATGAATAAAACTATATTACATAGCACATTCAGCTGGATTTCTTATAATCTGGAGAAAAAATTTCCCAAAGTCAATGTGTGTTCAAAACCATCCTGGTGACTCAGACAGGGGACGTGGTTTGGTGATACCGTGAAGGTGGAAGGAGACAGTATTCAGATCAATGAATGTCTAGGATCTTTGTTCCTGGCCCTACTATAATACAGTGCACTGGTTAGATTACTATTTAACAGTGAAATCAGAAAAGACTTATTTTTGTGGTTTTGCTGAAACCACACTTATGCATCATTCAACACCTGTCAGCTGAGCAGCTAATGCATACAAGCCTCCACACAGAACCCATGCACAAAGGCAAGAGGGCATGTGCCCTTGACCTTGGAGCCTATCCTCAGAGACCTAGGCAGATAAAGACCATAGGCATAACTAGAAGGCGAGGGAGAAGACACTGAGCTTTGATGGGGTGCAGATGAAGCCGGAGGGCAGAGGTTTGTGCCCACAAACAAAGAGGCTCTTTCCCTGGACACACGTGCTGGGGAGATGCTCCGCTGAGGTCCGGCACTACGGGAAGGGGTATTTAGCCAGGGGCTGAGCAGGACGTGGAAAAGCCATGTTGCTTTGTCACAAAGGCAAGGACAGCAGCAAGTAGAAAAGGAAACGGATAACAGCCTGAGGCCCTTCTGGAGCTGGACTCCCTGTCACAGACAGTGGGAGTCACGAAGGGCTCTCCTCAGGAGGAGGGCATCCTCAGGCAACCTAGGACCCACTGGCAGCGAGCACAGCACACATGGCAGTAGAGGAAGGCCAGGTGGTGGGGACAGGTAGGGGCTGAGGCTGGGGGTAAGAGCTCCTTGGGGAGGGGTGGGAAGGTGAGAGCGACCGCAGAGAAACAGTTGCTGGGGCAAAGCAGGCTCTGCAGGGGTCCTAGATAAGACCAGGTGGCCTGAGATGCTCAGGTGAGAGGGTGTGTGTGACAGCACGGAGTCCCAAAGAACAGGCCAGGCAGGGGATAGAAGCATGGAAGGTGACAATCTGAAGGAGTACCGGGACAGCCACATTTTGGTGGCAGCAGAAGAAAGAAAAAAGCAGAGAAAGGAAGTTGGAGCGAAGGGAGAAGGGAGATCCAGAAGTACAGGAAGGCACGGGCTCTGTGGGTCAAGCGACCTCCAGATTTGGGGCAGAGGCAATGGCACAGCTATCGTGGGGCACTGGAAATGAAGCCAGCTGGCCCCACGGAGGTGGCGGGAAAGTACACACGCGCCTGTGTCTGCCTGGAGTGCCACCAGGGTGGCCCAGCCCTTTGCTAGGCTGGTCCTCCTGTTATCTGTGGGCCTCGGTTTAACAGTCCCTTCTCCCAGGCGCTCCTGCAAGTCCTCGGTGTCCTGTGCACATCATCCCACACAGTGGCTCGTCCTCTGGGGTGCCTCCTCCACACTAGACTGCAACCACACAGGAAAGGACCTTGCGTGCAGTGTAAGCCTCGGACAGCAAGGGTCTGAGGCAGCCACCTCAAATGCCTGGGGAGGGAAGGCAGGTGGGAAAGGGGCAGAGAGGGAGGGCGGAGGCGGTACGCACAGGGTAGAGGTGCTCTCCCTGCCCGCCTCATCCCACCCTGCTCCGTGGCTGCACGCATCCCCACAGTCTCTGCCAGGTCTCACCTGCCCACCTGTCCACTTAGTCACAGCCAAGCAACCCCATGCCTGTTTTTCAGACAGCGGAGGCCTGAGCTGTCCTCAGCGTGGCACGAGCACCGCTCTCCCAGGCCCGCCCTGACCTGCTGCGTGCTGCCCGGGGAAAAAGGAGCCTACGAATTCACGGAGTTACACACCCTGCACTCAGCTGGGTCCCGGCTGCTGCCCTGTAATTCTGGGTTCACCTCTGATCATGCTCCTTCAGGTTCGCTTGGGTCCTGCTCTCCCTTTGTACCCTGAGATGTAGGCTGGGCCAAAGGATTCCTTCAGGATGCCCTCTGGGCTTCTGGACTTGTGCCACCTTCTCTTTCTTCCCTCCTTCTCTGAAAAGATGGTGTCTTCTTCATCTGCAAAGCCCAGATCTCACTCCCTGAACTAAGGCCTAAACAGACTTTTACTATGGCTCTCACCACAAAAGGCAGGGACTGCCTCATTCATCTTTATATCCCCAGCACGAAGCACAGACAGTGTTTAAAGTACGAAATGTGATTAAAAGAGTACAGTGGATGTTTAAAGTTTTAAAACTTTATTATGGTAAAAGATACAGCACCAATAATCCCCCTCAAAATAGTCCTCTCACTTTGGACACACACTTCCCATTGTTCTTGCCACTTTCTGAAGCAGTTCTGGAAGTCCTCTTTTTGTGAGTCTTTATAAAGTATGATCAAAACATAGTGAATGCTGATACTGAGGTCTACCCATACAATGGGATATTATTCAGCCTTGAAAAGGAAGACATACCGGCATGTACTCCAAAAAAGATAACTTTGATGACATTATGCTAAGTGAAATAAGCCAGCCACAGAAGGGTATGATGTCATTTACACAAGGTATACAGAGTTGTCAAACTCAGACAGACAGCAGGGTAGAAGTTGGTGGAGGCTGACAGAAGGGGAACAAGGAGTTGCCATTTAAGGGAGGAAACAGCCTCAGTTTGGGACAGTGAGAGGTCTGTGGACGGACGGTGATGATGGCTGCATGACAAAGCAACTGTCCTTGATGCCCCTTGAGTTGTACCCTTCACAATGGTTAAGATGGTAACTTGACATTATGTGTATTTTACCACAATGCAAAAGAGAAAAATATGAAAAGTGCTCTCTGTCAAATGACAAAGACAAGGGAAGGCGAGGTGCTCTGGGAGCTGGGAGCTCTGGGCGAGATGGGCGGAACGCCACCCAGGAGGTCAGCTGAATGCTGTGCGAACAGCACTTACAATGGGAGAGAAGGGGGAACAGCAGCATCTGCAACCCACATTAACCTATGGCCTAAACGTGTGCTCTCTGGTTTCATCTTTTAAGGCCTACGGCTCGGGTGTGGTTTGCCCCCAGGGGTTCATGTGCTGCAACCTCGGTTGCCAGTGCGGCTGCTGACTGGCGGTGGGGCCCAGTGGGAGCCACGGTGGGGCACTAAAGTGGTTCTCCAGGACCCTAGTTACTCCTCTCACAAGGCAGCTACGGGAGCAAGAATGGGCCCTGCAGTTCTGGGCTTTCTCCCTGGCATGTCGTCGCCCCTCTCTCAGGGACTTCTGCCATGACACTAATGCCACAAGCTCTCACCAGAGGCCCTACA